GCTAGCATCCGGATGGGTGACCACCTGGGCGCATAGTGACGAATCCTAGCTCCATAAACACACGTGTTACTCGAATCCAACCGTGACGTCTACTCTGTTAGCCATAGTGCATGGCTTATGTACAATCAAATTGGCATACAAAATAATATGTAATATACAATTAATACAAAATAAGAAGACTACAGTTGGGGCTTGGTGTGGCGTGGTGATTGGCTGAAGTCCCTAATGGGTGTCAATCATCGGCCGGCGTAGCTAGCATTCGGATGGGTGACCACCTGGGTGCTTAGTGACGAATCCTAGCTCCATACATACACGTGTTACTCAAACACAACCATGACCCCTACAAAAAATGATCATTGTCATAGTTTCCGAAGCTTTAGACAAAAAAAAAAATCCAAATTGTTTATATTAATTATAGATTTAATAGAACCGCTAAAATTAAGATTATTTTAGTGGTGTCGGTTATTGGCAGAGGAAGGGGAGAAAGTTTATCATCCAGATAATTCTCAAAGAATTCCAATATAAAATTATTTCAATACGTTATTCAGTTGCTTCAAATCTAGACATCTTCCTAGCATTTTTACAAAACATACGAAGCTTACAAAATTAATAAAAATATGTTGCTTTAAGAAAGGCGTTTCACCTGAATATGTAGTCTCCAATTGTTCAAATGCGTCTCACAGGTATGAAACATATCAAATTTTAGTTAAACAGTTATCATTCATCTTCGTTGATTCCATATAATAATAATCACTCTAATATTAAAACTTACATTGATAATGAGATCTGCTGACATTGATGAGCACATCGCACATGTAACACAGGGCCAACACATGCTTATAAAATATTAATGCTAACTAGTTACTTCTTAAATGTACATCCAATCATACTTTCAAGTTGAAGCACTTATAAAAGTCTTTATCGAATTTCACATATATTGTATTCTTCAAGTTGTTTGAAGTTGTAATAATTAAACATTTTCAAATGCATTGACTGAAAATCATACTCAAAATAATTAGTTCAATAAACAATGATTTTTTTGAAACCACTTACTATATTCCAAAGTTTATATTATAATGTATATAGCAAAAAATCAACTTAAATAAGATTGAAATTTAAAAAATGTTAAAGGGAGCATGGGCGCTCGCAGGCAAATGAATTTTAAGAAACATAAAACAAAAAAAAGAGATCAACTTGATAAGCGGACACAAAAATAAAAAAACCAAATAGGGATATTTTTATTCTAAGGGTCCCACTTAACCCTCTGTTAGTCGCGCGCCAAACGGGGGTGATTAAACTAGCACCCCCCACACTGTCCAACTCGCGCGACTATGCTGTTAAGACAGAGGGTTAAAATAAGTCATAAAGAGGTTATTACGCCTAAGGGCTATGGATAGTTGAAGCTGTGGTGATGATAGTAGGCTAGTGGTAGTATATTATCATCACTGGTCGAGTGCATCGCAATGATCTTTTCCTACTAACTACCAAGGTATTCGATATTGTATAAGCATAACAATAAAAGAAAATATTTAAATATTACCAAGAGAAATTAGAACCTAATTAAGTATCATAATTTATATCCATAGTTTTAAAGCCAGTCGGCTAGCGTTGTACCAGTACTTATAATTAATAATAATTTAAATACAATAAACACTATAATTAGTCATTTGTCCATCACCAAAAATTATAAAAACTGATTTCAAAATTTTCATGTATAAAAAAATTTCATAAAATAATAAAATAATGAGAGTTGACGGTATGAGGAATTATTGTAAGGTTTTCAATATTTATTTATTCATACATTTTAATTTAAAATAAGGTTTATTGAATTAAAATTATATTGTCTTAGAATAACCAATATATTTTCTTCTCACTTCTTTCCACATTGCACTTAATCTATTTTTACCAACACATTTACTAAGAACAAAACAAAAATATAAATATTATTATGCATGTTAGTTACAGATTGAAACACAATATAATTTTAATTCAACATTAATATATTTAAATAAAAAAATAGCTTCAACTCAAAAGAGAACTTAAAAATCGTTCACTTTAATTTCTTGTATCTATAACAACTTTCATTCAATTAACACATTATTTTATTGTACTGAGGTAAAGTCGATAAAACTCTGATCATATTTTTTCACATTTTTTTTTTTATTCTCAAAATGCATTTGTCCGCGGGCGCAAATGCCCCCTTCCCATTTTTATTTTTAGAATTGAATTTTAAATAATTTTTTATAATTTTTTTTTATTTAATTCCTTCACTCATTTTCCTGCGTTCTCACATGCCCCCCTTCAAATTTTTTTTTCTATAACTTAACTCTAGTTCAACTTTTCATTCAGATTTTTTTAATTTTGGTTACCAGCTGGTTGATTAAAATATTCATTTTCTCGTTATATAATTATTGTAAATAACGCTATGAGTTTAGGAATACAGATATTTATTGCAGTCTTTAATGTTTTTTTTTTTTAATGCAACTTTTTTCATATTTTTTTTTTTTTGATACTCAAAATTAATTTGCCTGCGGGCGCCCATGTCCCCCTTCCCATTTTTATTTTTAAAATTGAATCCCATTTGATTTTTTCATATTTTTATTTTTTTTAATTCTCAAAATGCATTTGCCCACGGGCGCCCATGTCCCCCTTCCCATTTTTATTTTTAAAATTCAATTATATTTGATTTTTTTATATATTTTTCTTTTTTAAAACTCAAAAATAACCAACAATTAATTATTGTAAATAAAGCTATGAGTTTAGGCTTAGGTACTGATATTATCGACTGCAGTCTTTAATGTTTGTTTTTAATGCAATTTTTTAATATTTTTATTTTTTTTTTGATTCTCATAACGCATTTGCCCGCGGGCGCCAATGTCCCCCTTCAGATTTTTATTTTTAAAATTGAATTCTACATGACTTTTAAATGCCATTTTTAAATTTTGATAACCAGAATTTAACTATTGTAAATTAAGGTATGAGTTTAGGAATACTGATATTGAAGACTGCAGTCTTTAATGTTTTTTTTTTAATGCAACTTTTTTCATATTTTTTTTTTTTTTTATTCTCAAAATTAATTTGCCTACGGGCGCCCATGTCCCCCTTACCATTTTTTTTTTTTAAATTGAATCCTATTTGATTTTTTCATATTTTTATTTTTTTTAATTCTCAAAATGCATTTTCCTACGGGCGCCCATGTCACCCTTTCTATTTCTATTTTTAAAATTCAATTGTTCTTGATTTTTTATATATTTTTCTTTTTTAAAACTCAAAAATAACCAACAATTATTAATGTAAATAGAGCTATGAGTTTAGGCATAGGTACTGATATTATAGACTGCAGTCTTTAATGTTTGTTTTTAATGCAACTTTTTTCATATTTTTTTTTTTTTTTGATTCTCAAAATTAATTTGCCTGCGGGCGCTCATACCCTCCTTCCCATTTTGATTTTTAAAATTGAATTTTATCTAATTTTTTTATAATTTTTTTTTATTTCATTCTTTAAACTCATTTTCCTGCATTCTCCCATGCCAACTTTCAAATTTATTTTCCCAAAACTTATCTCTAGTTCAATTTTTTATTCTCATTTTTTAAATTTTGATAACCAGCTGGTTCCGTAAAGTATTCATTCTCTCTTGATGTAATTATTGTACATAATACTTGGTTGTCAGGAATACTGATATTGTAGACTGCAGACGTCTACAGTATTTAATATTTTCTTTTAATACACATTTTATCATAAACTTTTTTTTTTTTATTCTTAAAATTCATATGGCATCTGAGGCCATTAACTGGTGTAGGGATTTTGAACTGCGGTAGGGGTAAGGTTGTTACGGTAGGTTGTTTTTTTTTACGATTGTTGTCGTTATGTAGCATACACGTGTATGTGTGGCAAGGTGTGAAACTACTATGAACCCAGGTGGTCACCCATCTGGGAGTTAGAAGCTGTGGCCGTTACTCCCAGTCGTATTGCGCGACTGACAGCAGCCAACGTACCTCGCCGAGCCACTAATTCTGTAGACTGTAATTATTATACCTAATAAAAATTGAAACATCATATTTTACTCATCACACGGGTAGACATTTATTAATTATTGTTTAGTCCCCTCCGCCATCCGATCAACAACTATGGCTAAACACAGAATAGATAAAATCTCTTATTTTTAAGTTTCTCCCTCGTGCCTTCCCCCCACCACGAGGATCTTAGGCTTTAGTGGCACTGGACGTTTCCCCCCTGAATCAATGTATATTGTTAATATTGTTTATACACATAACAATTATAGGTTTTAAAATAGGTTAAACCCAAAATATATGATCGATAGATGTCGACTATCATCATTCACGTACCTACTGGATTTATAACCCAATTTAATGGGTAATTATTGATAAACCAAAGTTTTGTAAAAATTACATTTATTCCTACATTAATTCAACAATTTGTGTAATTTTTGATAAATAATCTCGTAAACAGTATACTGTAAGTATACCTACCAACATTTATTTATTTATATTTGTAATTTGTATATTGTTTAATTATTTTTGGGAATTTTGTATTGGAAATTGTGTTATTACCTATAACGTATTATTGAATTATATTAACATATTTATTTAATCATATTATTAATTTAATCACTAATACATTTATTGATTTGAATTGCGTATTATTGTTTAATATTCTTACTTTTAGTTTTTTTTTTGGTCGAGAGGAATTGTCCCGTTTTTTTTGGTAGGGGGGGGGGAAGACGACGTCCTAGATTCATACAATCTATTCAGTGCCCAATCGTTACATTTTTGGTATTTTCAGTAAGCAATTTGTTTAAAAATAAATAAAAACTTAAAAATCAAAATCCGATAGGTACTTTTGATGGACATCAACCAAACTGGTTTTACAACTTTTTCTTTAATTCTTCATTTTCCCGCCCATTTATTATCAATACCCATAGATAATGCAATACAACAATGATGTTAGTCAAATTTCTGATATCAAATTTTATAATTTTTATTGTTTAAAAATGGATATTTTTCTGATTGATAAATGATAACTACTAACTAATGTCTAATAGCTTAATGCCTTAATGTTATTCTGTGCTAATAACTAATTAGTCACGACAAGTTAAACCTAATTTGTCATGTAAATATGTAATAAGTAACAACTACAGAATTTCATAGATAATTAATAATAATTTATACTTCATATACTTACATACATTGTTAACTTCCATTTTCTTGTATCTCTTTCTAAAATTAACTAATTGTTCATTATTTTAAATCGTTGGTTGGATGATACAAGAATATTATTATGTCCAGTATAGAATCAAAAATTAAAAACCGATCTGCCAATTACAAACATGGTAAAAACCGAGATGTCAATTTTCGAGATATCATGAGACATGTAAGTAAAAGTGTGTATTAATAATTTGTTTTAATGTTTTGATTAAGTATATTTATTTTTATTTTTAGAGATATAAAAATATCATTAAGAATAAACGAGAGTCTCTTTTAGAACGAGTTCGCAATGTTGCGTATGAAATGCGAGAAAATGAGGTCACTTCGTTTATTGACAAAACATGCATAAAGTAAGATTATTTCTTTAATGTCTAAATAAATTTATGTGAAATAATATTTTATACTATGTTTATGTTTAACATTTTAAACTAATGCAACGTGCCCTCATTACACCAATCACAGTTGACACTGTTGGAGTTAGTCTTGACAATTCTCTAGTCATATAATAATAAATGTATAGTTTTAAAACCATTAACGGTAAATAACTATCTGATAAATTAGAGAACCATGAAAAAGGTCTGATCATTTGACATCACAAAGTATTAATTGTTATGTTCATCTTGTTGGCATTACCATCTTCCTTGTTTTGCTAATCACTCTATTTATATAAATTCATGTATGGTGCTTATCGACTTTGAAACTACTGAATTGATTGGCATCAAACATTGCACACAGATGAGACTTGAAAAAATGTTTTTTGTTTAGTTTTTCAACCCATATAGGTAATCTGTTATAGGGTGACTCACAAATTAATTTAGTTTTGGTCCATGATAATTAAATAATTTTTTTTGTTTACATAAAGAATTACTATTGGTTAAAGAAAAAATATTTACAATAAAAGTTGTACTAGCCAATCGACCATGTGTTACTATTGGATTGTTTTCAAATAAAAAAATAATATTTAGTTAATTGATTATTATTCAAACGACAATTAATATACAACAAAAGGCCATGCCCATATTTTTGTTGCTTAAAGATTCAAAAACTACTGTACTAATTTTGACAACAACTTCAGAGATTGTTCCTAGAGATATCAGGAAAATGCTTTAAATCCAATCTGCGGTAGGTTTAAACCTTAAGGACTATTTTAAATACCTGACCTGGCTAACCTGTGTATTGAGAATATTTTGAATATAGTTTTTAAGCTCACTCGGCTAGTTTTGAATCATATTACCCATATAAAAAATAATAATCCATTAATCCATTTCCTGGTTATAAGTTATGGATATTTTTTGAAATAAAGAGAAAATACCCTTCAACACAACCTTCAGTTTAGTAAAATATTTTTGTAACTTCATTTAATAAATTTCTCTACAATAAAAATTGTTGTTGAACTTTAGGCTTCGTATATAGAAGTTTAACTCTACTTAATATATTAGAAAACATTGAAAATCTAACCTTAGTTGAATCATGTGTTTAAGGATTTTTCTATAACAATAATAATTAGAGAGAAGTTGTTGCTTTAAACATTTTATTTGGATATTAGATCTATTGCTAAAAGATTGAAATTAACTTCATGACACTACCAAAAATGTATAAAAAGTTTATGCATTTTTGAATATTTAATGATTTTGTTTAAGAATACATTTCTCAATTTTACAATCTCTTAGAGAATATTTGATGAATAATGATGTTTATAAATTATAATATAATTTGTATATTTGACGATAAAAAAAAACCTTTTGGTGGTAGGTATATAATATATGTTTATTTTGAGATTTTGCACTGTGTAGCTATTATACTGAAACGTGTTTTTTAAATCCTTAGTCAACATACAATTCTCAGTATTTATTAATAAATATATACTACAAATTATAAAACATAAAAATATTTGAATTTGTGAAAATTGTGAATAAAAAAAATAAGTGCATACTTTGAAATCATATTTGTACTATATTAACCACATAAGTCATGCGTATTTAGTAGTTTTTAAGTATATTAAGTTCCGACCCCCAATGATGATATTATAAGCTAAAACTATTATAATGCTATAATATATCATTAAATATTATTAAAAATGTTTGAATGTGTTATAAAATAATTTTTATTTATTTATCTGTATAACAAGAATTGATGTGGATGAAGATGATGGATTTCACTCTCTGGACGAAGAAGATAAAATATTTGATGAAATTAAACAGGAAATTTTAGATGAAGAAAGTATGTATTGAATATTTTAAAATTATATTTCAATTGTAGTATGTTTTACTTTACAAATTTATGTATTTATATTTTAGTGAAATGGATTTGTGCACAAGACATCGATTATAATATATATTTACAGCATTTACAAAATAGTTCGATTGAATGTCCTGTCTGCCACACAGGCAACCTTGTAAAATCAACTGCCAATACAATTTCTTGTGATATATGCCATACATCCATTCAGACATTCCTTGAAATTGATGCATTAAAAAATAATATGGAAAATACAGTTGCTGAACATTCATGTGTTTGTCAGTCACCAATCGAATGTATTGTTTTTCCGACACCTTATGATAATTCTATGTTTATGTTATGTAACGTCTGTCAGTTCCTTTTTCAGATATCATAAGTTAGGTTAGTAATAAAAATAATTTATAATAATATGTTTAAGCTGATGTGTAGAACCTGTATTCAAAATTATTTTAATATAATGTTTGTATTTTATTGTCTCTGTAGATTAAAATTCTTAACAAACAAATATTTTGGGTGATTTATATTAATATATTGACATAATTATAATATATAAAATATATCATATAATAATATTGTATTTTTTCATTATTTAAATAATTTATTGTTCCATTAAGAGTTGTGAGTCACTGAAAAATTGAATTCAATTGACCATCTAATTGAATGGGTTATTATTCTATTGTGAATGTACTATGTAGTCTACAGTTTCCTTTTTAAAACTACATAATGTAGTTCTAAGCTGGTTTAAAATAACTTTACTAATACTCATATAATATATATCTTACTTTTAACATCTCTGTGATGATGTTAATATTTGAGTGAAAAATGCACATTCTTTTTATAACAGTGTTTCTTATTTTGACTGTGTTTGATGTAAAATCCCTGGAGAATTTAAAGGGTATACTATTTAATTTTTTAATTACTTATTTATAATAATACATAATTTATAATTTTAACTAATGTTCATATTTTGAAAACAGAAAGATGTGAAATCCCAATTATGCGTGGTCCATGTCAAAATTGGATACACAAATGGTACTACGATTCTATTATACACCAATGTAGGACTTACATAAGTGGTATTTGTAAAAGTGATAATATATTTGATTCTGAGGCAGAATGTCTGTATCATTGTGTCGGTGGTAAAAGTAAACTTATTACATATTTTTAGCTTATCCAAATATTCAATCTTTTAATTTTTCCTAGACCATAACAATACATACTTTGTCTCAGAACCTATTGAACAAAAATATGAATATGGTTCATCTACATTGGCACCAATAGCCCCAAGTGATAGAGGTGCAGAACTTACATTTTCTGAATCGGGTCATTATACTGTATTTATGATGGCTGAAAACAACGCGTTTATACAGCTTGATGGCAATCGTATTCCTACCTTTCAACTAAGGTAAAATTTGGCGTCATAATATTTATATTCTTAAAATGTCCAATCATTTGATTCCAATAGGCTTTGTCGAGAAATATCATTCCAATTTCGTACACGTTTACCGCATGGATTACTTGTTTATCATAGTGTAAAGGATAGACCAACAGGTCTTCCTCCTTATGCTTTATATGTAATCGTTGAAAAAGGACAACTTAAAGTAGTACACGTCTATGGTAAACATTCAACCTCTGTAATAGTCGGAGAAGGTGAGTAAGGGATTTAAAATATACACATTTTATATTTAAATAAAATAATTACTGTAACTATAATGGCGAAAACAAATCTTCAAAAGATATTTCGAGTCTGAAAACACTTTAAAAAAAATTGAAATTCTAAAAACAATTAAACATAATTAATAAGTACCTAGTCATTAAACTCTAAGTTATAGCTTATAGCAAATGTATACATTGTACATACTTACGAAAAAAGCCTTTCAAAATAATAGGTTATATTCTAACAAATATTTAGGAAGTTATCAGATTTTTGTTCAAATTCATAAGGTCTACATAATGTTTAGTTCAATAAGTTAATCCTATGAAGTTTTAGTCCAATCTATTTTGTCCTAAAAATTAAATGCTAGAATAGCATATTTTTTGTCCATAACACTGGTTAAAAATAATAATAATTTGGCCAAATATTGGTTACCATGGTTTCAATTATAGGATTTTATTGCTACTTATACTGTAAGGTATTATCTTAGTAAAATTAGTTCTTTAAAAATAATATTTTCAACTTAAATGCTGTGTGATTGAAACAAATATAAGTACTTTATTCAAGTACATATTTAGTACAGTTCATTACTTATACATTTTAATTTATAAAATTATAAACAATGGGTTTTGTTAAAAAATATTTGTATTAACAGACTAAATATATAATAAATGTGTTGTTTCATTTGGTTTTCTTAAGACATACATTTACAAAAATTATAGATATAAATACATTGGACTTGAAAAATAATAGATAAAATGTATATTGATCATAGGTAATTGATGTTTTGAGTCACTTTCTCTAAAAAAGTAAGCCTTAGTCAATAAAATTATATTTTCAGGGAATAAACTTAAATTTTTCCTTAGAAGAAATCATATTTTCTGTAGAACTATTTTAAGAAAATGTATGTTGATTATATTTTATTTTAATTTAGAATATATTTATATTTAATAACATTAGAGACAGGTATAAATACACCTAAATATATAATACTAACAAAATATAATTTTAAAATTTAATTTATGGTCACTCTAGGCTTATAATATTATAGTATATATTATTACATATTTACGTATAATATATTATTAGGGAGGACATAGCAGTGAATTCAAATATTGATTTATTTGGTAAGGCGGAAGGTCCTATATTTTTTATTATTGCATGATTAATTACTAAATAATGGTATTCAAAAATAATTGTTTGTGTTGGTAAGGTATTGTTGCAATTTTACAATATTGTGTTTAATATTTTAGGATTAAATCATGACATTTGGCACACTGTAACAGTACGCATAGATGTACATGGCGCTAGACTTATAGCAAAAGTAGATAATATAAGTGCAGAAAAAATAATACAAGGATTACATAAGTCTAGTAATTATGGCATATCTACTGACTTAACATCTGTAGTTTTAATTGGTGGTATGTTCATTATGTTAATTATTAAAATTAATTGAATATTTAACTATTGATATAATTCAGAAACGAACTAGAAGAAATTAAGTTTTAATAAATATTTATCTAAAATAAAAATAAATTGTTATAAATTGTAGATGTATACATTTCAAATAACAGTGACTTTGCTTATAATATTATAATATTGCATTATAATTAATAGGTGCCGACAAACATTCAAACAGGGTTACTTGGAGCAGTTTTAAAATTTAATTGGCAATCATGGAAAAACAAATATAATTCTATGAAGCTACAACAACCCTATATCTTAATTATTTCTTTAAGAATATATCAAAATTAAACACATACCATGAGTCCTTTCATAATTCTTATTTTATTTTTGTGACTTCCTCAAGTTACCCTAAACAATGTCATATTCGGGAAGTAGAAGGCAGTCATACAATTATTATTTAAAATCCAATTCTTTATTATTCAGGGCCATAATAGGGCAAGCATTTAAATTTTTATAATACAATTATGTACTTCAAGTTAAGTTATAAAATGTTCATACTTGAAATGAAAATGTCTAAGCTACTTTTATTTTGTGGGGAATTGTTCAATTCATTCATTTAACTCATAATGGTGGACATTCCAGGATAAATAAACTAGTATATGAAGCTATAAAATGGCTTTGCTACCTGAAAATTGACTTTCAGACTAAAATGCTGCCATTGCATGGTTACCAAATTGTAATTATAGTTAAATTTTCTCTGTAAACCATACATAAAATATTAAATTTGATTATAGATTATTATGAGCATAAAGATTAAGTTAAATTGTAATAACTTGTAGGTAAAGTACAAAAACCATAATATATTTTTGTCCCCAATTGATTAGTTTTATGGTATTTATTTAGGTGCATATTTATTGTTTTTGACTCTTAATATTATTTTTTGAATTTCTGTACAATTTATTTAGGTTTGAGTCCAGAGGAAAAACTACACGGTGTTAAGTATATTATTGAATCATTTGTTGGCTGCATAAAAGAAATGGTTTTGAGTGCTGGAAAAGCTGCTTCAGATTTGTTACCCATCAAACCGTTAATTGCTACTAAACATGACAATGTACAGGAGGGTTGCATAGATAAGTATGGTTTATTTTTTAACCATTTAAGAGTAAATTATTGATGTTTACAACTTTAAAATACAAGTTATATGCATGCTAATCACTTTAAATACCAATTCCAGATGTAAAACTGAAGACAATATTTGTTTTAAAGGTAGTCTATGTATTAACCATTATAATCAATTATCGTGTGATTGTTTTGGAACTCTTTATGAAGGCGAATACTGTGATATTTATGGTATATATTTATAACTTTTTTTGTAAGAAATGTACTGCATGTACAATATACAGTGGACGCCGCTTATAAGACTCACAGATATAAGGTTCAGTCGCTTATTAGACTCAAAATTGCCTGAAACGGTCCAGATGTATCCAAATACATTAAAAAAAATTTTGTTATAAGACTCAAATTTTGTAAAGAAAAAATGGTAAAAAATAAACATATTTGGTCAAAATTTAGAAATAAATTAATGTTTTTCGCTTTATTATGTGTGTATGTACAATAAATTGTACAGTCTTTCACATTTTCTAATATATTTCCGGAATATTAGTTAATAACTAAAAAAAAAACAAAATCACAATTTTTTTTCATAAATAATAAATAGGTACATTATACATCACACATCTTTTATAATTTTTTATTAATGCATATAATAATTTTTTACATGTATTGTAATTTAAATTTTTTATCAGAATTTTTTTAATTTATTCAATAATACGTATGTCATATGTAATATGTATTAGAGTATTAAAATTAAAGAAAAATATGTGGTAAAATAAAATTCATAAATATGTAATTATTTTTTTTACCCACTTTGCCTATAAGATTCATTCGGATATAAGACTCACTTTTTGCTGGTCCCAATGTGAGTATTATAAGAGGCGTCCACTGTATATATCTTAAACAATAATATATAAACTTATAAACCATTTTCAGTTTCTACTGTATTAACTTTAAGAGGATCTTCCTATGTATCATATCGTGTGTATGACTGGAAAGATAGAGTTCACTCAAGTATGAATCGTATTAGTTTTATGTTTAAGACTAGATTTGATGATTCTGCTTTATTTTATGCGAGCGGAGAGTCCCATAAACATCACCACATTGCAATATCAATTTACAATGGATCAGTTATTGTTGAAATTGAACTTGGTGATGGAGAGCCTATATTTGCAACTGTTGGTAATAACACAAACTCAAATCAATGGCATAACTTGACAATATTACATAAAGAAAATATGGTTGATATTATGTTTAATGGAGAAACTAAAAATTATATTTTGGCTGGAACTCGAAATTATTTATACATAGATCCTGAAATATATTTTGGTGGTGGTCCAACACTCTCTAATAAACCTGGTACAATATAAATTGTGAATAATATTTCAATTAAAAG